ACGTGCAAAATTTTTCATTTAAATGTATAATGACATTAACAGAGATAACGCGTAAAATAATAGAGAGTAGCGACAGCATGGAACATATGTTTGTTAGGAATATTTGCGATAAACATTCGTTCCATCCGCACTACTTTAACATTTTGTCAGTAATGTACCATCACAGTATTATGCACATTTTATATAACACACATTTATACATGAGTAAATCGTGTTTCTAACGAAATATTGCTTGCCTGCTTTCTACAGATTCCAGTCAATTCGCAATGGAAGAGAACCGTGTGTATCCGCCACTTTACCCGTCGGCTTTTCAACCACTGATCGATCGATCGCCCTTAATGAAGCGTCTTTGGTATATAAATCATTCATCCCGCTAGACGAACGCGATGGAATGCGAGAATAAATAAAACGTGAGCTCTTGCTATATGCGACCGCGATATGATAATGAGGGAGTTTGTAGTAGCGCGGCGCTCTGAACGCGTAAAAAGATAGATCGTCGACGAACGAAAGAAAATCGGCACGCGCGATCGTATAACTCGGAAAATAGAGAAACGTGAGGCGAGCGTGAAAAACTGCATAAGCGGCACTTCTTATAACATATTTACACAAGTAATTTGCATTTTAGCGACGGCGATGCTTGTGCAATTTGCATTTTGTCAAGTAAATACTGATGGATAAGCGCGAACGTTATCAGACCGTCGTCATCTTGTCATTAAGCAACATTGGCGGATCCATGGAAGGGTCATGCTCTTTCCTTTCTTATTACCACCTTTTTAAAAAGTATTTATAACAAAATGTTATATATATTTTTAATATTTCTAAAATGTGTGTGTGTGTGGTTAATCATATTCTTGACATTTCAAAAATATTTTTTAATTTACAAAACTTCTACAGATAAAAAAAACATTCTATTATATTATTCTTCTTTTGTGTTCACTTGAAATAAAACATTTTATGAATTATGCATTTAAATAGTACTCTTTTTCAATGTAATAATTTAAATAATATAATAATTTAATATTCAGTCTTCCTATATTTGACCTTAAAAAAATTTCGCTTACGGCGGCGAGCCAATTAGCCTTCCTTGGAAATTTCTGGATCTGCCAATGCTAAGCAGAAACGCGGAATAATTCTGCGAGCGAAATTATTATATTTTTCTGATTTCGCAGCACGTTCAAGGAAATATTAAATGCAACACGCGGCGACGTACAACTATAACGCGTCCCTAGAGCGGGACGAACTTTAAAGCGACATCGATCGCTCTGCCGCTGAAATATATCGGCGGTATCTTTATGTATAACACGCGATATATTATTAATGAAGCGTGTGTGTATTCTGGTACCATCTCTGGCGAAACGTACAAAGAACTTTGGACGAATTAAGGATCATCAACTATTAGTACGTATCTCTCAACGAGAATAAAAGGATAAAAATAACACGGCGTAGGAATAAGGAAGACACTAAAATAAAAGCGAGAGTGGCGAGTGTTTCCGAGTTTCCAACGCTTCGAGACGCATAAATGTTACACGACACTATTTGCATAAATACAAGGCGCCGTCGTCTGAAATTCCGCGGGGGTTACCGCACAAAAGAAAACTGAGAGACTCATGAGGTAGCCACCTCGTTGCGGTTAGTGAAAGAATAATAATGAAGAAAGAACCACATTCTCGCTGATGAGAGGATTTTCTTACGGCTGGTGGCTTCTCCACAGCTTTGCGTTACGTAAACCTTAATTAACGCGGACCAATTTAAAAAAAAAAAAACATACACCCCCGCAAGGCTATGTAATTGCATCTCGACCACGAAGGAACTCATTTTCCGTTTTTTGAATCTCGCTGAGTATATAGCCGTACGATGATATCCCTTGGGAATTGTATTTACTATCAGTACTCGATTACACGTTCAGTTATACAGTTACGATTCGAATCGCCGATTCGCGGAAGTCGAGTTGCCCTTCTATCGATGTTCGTGATATTTCTGGTTTCGAGTCTTTAAAATCAGTATTTTTCTACGCAAGATGTACTAGAAATAAGTATAGACATTAAATTAAAAACATATTAATTATTAAACTTATTCAAATAAATAGACCAATCTTAATTCAATTCAAATCGTTATCATAATTTAATAATCGAGACTTGATTATATATATAATAGAATAAACATACAAATAATTATGAAATAAAAAATTTATAGATTAGTAGAAGAAAATAATTCATTTCAGTGACCGATATTCGCTCGCCAGAGTAATCGATCCGTTTGTCATATTCATTTGTACAAGAAAATGAGAAAATTAAGAAAAAAGATGGATGGACGAACAGAGGTATCTCATAAAATTGTTGATGAGAAATGTATATCAAAGGTAAAGAGACACGTACGTTGATCGATCCAATGAAATTTCCTCCTAACAAAAGTTTTAATTTTTCTTTTAAAGATATGGAAATAAAACACCGACTGTATGAATAATAATTCTCATGCGAAAATATACACACAGGTATATAAAAGAAATATTAATGTATTATAAAAAATTATGTTTAATATGTGTTTGTGTATGTTTGTGTTTCTATATGCGAATAAGCGTGTATCTTCTCGCACAAGTTATATTCAGATTCGCATATACTTTTCGTCTCGGCGGACAGCGACGAAAAATCACTCCACGAGAATGATATATGTCCCTGATGATCGCGATCCCGCGTATCAAATTATGCCATTGACGATGTTCCGACGACTTCGACGAATTATCTAACTGATAGTCTAGTCCTTAAAGATAACGACCAGTGCGAGCGTTATTGCGTTAACGACCTCGCTGATGTGTCGAAAATGCGACTTCGCGTCGCCGGATGGTCGCGAGATCGATTCGTCATAACGACACCGTGTGTGAGTTCAGAGGATTACGACTTACCGAACGACGTACAAACAAACAACGAGAACGGGCTGGAGCTCGGATTTGTCGTACACTATGGGCAGTTGAGCGAAATTACATTAATGCGGCTCGCGCGATACAAATAATAACGGCGTGGTCCTCGTGATACGCAATCTATCGTAATTTTTCCTTATGTGAAATGGAATCTTGATTTGTTTTCTGCTCTTGTGAGGAAATAAATATATTACCGTGTTCAGTCAAAATTAGAAAATATTATGAAAAAATATAAAATTATATACATATATATGTATATATGTGATAAAAAAATATTAAATATAAGTATAAAAATTATATATAAAGTATCTTTTAAGACCGCGCGCGTAAATGTGTAAGTATACAGCAATTAGGAAATGAAAACTTTAAATGATCGTACTAGATCTTCAGTATCTAAATTAAAATAATATTCGGCATAAATTTATATATATATATATATCTAATCCTCCAAATTGCACACCGAATTTAATTTTCAGTTTTAAAATGCAATCCTATAACAGAACTGGAATAATATTATAAATAAATTGACAAATTTAATGACATTGATGTTCATAGGCATCTAGAAGGATATTAATAACCTCATGCGCTAAAACATTTTAAAACCTATAAATAATTTTAAATAAATATTGCGAATAATATTATTTTAATCGAGATTCGAACCCACATTTCCTGTATTTCGTCCACCTAATTCAACCATCGAGATATGTGATGATATTTTTCGCAATATAAAAATTATAAAATTATGTAAAAAAAAGTAAAAATAAAATAAAATTCTATAATACATTTTTATGAAAATAAAATTAAGCTTTTTCTAAAGAAAAATCATTAAAGCTTTTTAAAAAAGAAAATATATCCATATATTTCATCACTGGATTCCAAATGTAATTATGTTCAGAATTAGACATTTCAATCAGTTTCGTTTCGTTAGATTACTTTCAGATACACCAACTTTCTCGTGACGTTGTGATTGCTCTGAACAGCGGTGCAACCCTGTCATTGCTTCTGTACAATTTTTGCGATCAATAACCAACTGAGAAAGCACATGTGATAAACAAGATTGCGCATCACTGGCGAGGTAAGGCGCACTCGTTTTGTACGCCTTAGGAGGAAGAAAAATCCGAGCTCTGTTTATTACGTACTAATCCTTGCGATCGTCCGCGAGGGAGAGTTTTCGCTGGCTCGACAGACGCGCGCTCTCTCGTTTTCCCGCACAATTGCAAAATCGATTCTATGGCACGAAGGACAACCCTCCAGCTACAATCTCCGACCGTTTTCCATTTAAGTCTCGTTACGCGCGTCCCGCGCATTCTTTCTTTCTCGCTTACTTATCTGTACATTACATGTCTCTATTTACAGTGTGATGTACATACATATCAATTTCTATAAAAATCGTCTCGACTATGGTAGCAACTGACTGACAGCTTCGATATACAAAACCGCTGTAAGTTCGTTGAGAGATTTTTCTTATGTGGGCGTGATCGCGTCTGGTCGCCGCTTCTTCAATGGTGGTCAATAATTTTTAACTGGTGCACAAGCAGCGGGGATTAAAAACATGTCGGCTGACTTATTTTTTAACACAATTGCCGTACACATTTCGGAAATTGGCCTGCTTAAATTTCAATACTAAAAAAATTATACAAAATATTACTCACAAACAGTTCAATGTTCTAAGTTGCTTTTCATACATTGTCGACGTTCTCAAAACAAATGTTGGCTCTGTTAATTTCTTCCACTGATATAGCACGGATCGCTACAAACCAGTTGTGAATAAGTGTCCCAGTTACCAGCGAAACGTTACCGACAGGTTATCGATATGCTCCATGAAATTCACGTGGTGAGTTTCTTCAGTGGGTATACAGTTGAGTATACAGTGAGTATAAGGTATACAATGAGTAAATCGTGACTCGACGAGGTCGATAACACAGTTTCCATAAGATATGTCTACCTATTAAACAACGAAACTCAATCCATCGATTTTACAGTTTAACAATCCAAGAAATAAATGTCCGCATTATATGTCTACTTTCCGATATCATTTTGTATTCGGAAAAGTGACAACATTCGATGAATACTGTCACGTGTCTGATTGCACGATGCATTTTGTTCTTTCTGTAACTGCTGCTTAAACGTACAGTACAACGTAAATGCTTGCGGTGGCCCTTAAAGCTATTCCAATCCTATTCAAAGAAACCACTCAAACCTTCTTATACACATTTACAAATTGATCCACATTGTTCTCGTTGCAGTATCGCAACAAGGCAATGCTAACTATACATATATTATGCTTGCTTCTTTCCCATACCATCTTGTTGATGATTAGGACATTATACATCTCTAATCGAGAATTTTATCAAATTCTCAGAATGGACGACACGTTTACAGATACATTGTACAAGTCTATTTTTAACAAACATCGACAGACGCTTATTATAGGCGTCCAACGATTGACAAATTTGAGATCGCATTGTCACAATACGTACCACAATTCGGTGCAACAAATAATAATTAGTTTAACATCTTCAACGTAATTTACAGCGGTTTGGCACAGCGTGTCCGTCTTTGCCGTACCGTTTTGTCAATTAAAAGCAATATTTTCGCGTACTAACTTCCGGTACCGGGCTCAAAGACGGGGGTCGTCCCTCGCGCGGGACAACCCCTTCCTCTTGTCAGCCATAGTAATAGCTTTTGCTGTTGAGGTTTCGGGGATTTTCTGTGCGAAGAATCGTGTGAAGATTATCTGTGCCAACCATGTGGTTCCCGAGGTCAACGCGCATCCCCGTGTTGGTTGCGTGAGATACCGACGTGGCGTGAATGCTTGTCGGCGATAAAGGTATCCTCGTGTCGGCATAGTAACGTTCGCCGTGAAGTCTCTCGGCTAACTGAGTTTCGGGCAACCTACAATATAAAGAATATAATTAGAATACATAATTAATAGTTCCGCGGGGAAAGATAAAATTTCCAAGAATGTTTCTTCTGTTATCAAAAGTGAAAGAACGAAAAGTATTCTATATAAATTGAGATTAAAATTGTTTAAAAATTTCCAATTCTACGTATTTAAATTTTGAGTAGACACTTTTATATCGTCTCATATTTTTTCTCTACGATCAGTTATTAGATTAAAATTGCATTTCAAAATTAATGTTATACAATTTTAATGTCAAAACTTTCAAACTTATTTTTCGAAAAACTTTGTTTTTAAATTATTGTCGTTATTGTGACAAATGAGTAATACCTAAAATAATTAGTTATTTGAGATCTACATAAATAAAAGTGAAAAAACTTATATTAATACAATTTTGTTTTACAGAAGAAAGTCAATATTTTTCTTGAAAGTCAAAAAGAGATTTACCTTGCATCTTGCATTGGCACTGCAACCGGCGTGGTAAGATCGATGTCGGCATCAATCTCGGAAATATCATCAGAGAATCCATTTGGGAGAGCTTCGTTATTCGCATGGAATTTTGCATCCCTCTTGGCGCGATGCCGGCTGATTAATAGGCGGCCGATAACCAACCCCAGAAAGAGCAGAATACCGGCACTGACCGATACAATAATGTAGAGGTAGAACTTTTCTTGGTTGTCTGCAGAAATCATGTTAAATAAACACCTTAGACTTTCATATTTCTTTCGTTTCTCCTCTCTTTTTTGTAAAATATCGACAACAGCAGATTCGAGCAATATATTGAATATTATCCACAATATATTGAAAGAACACACTATTTCTATTTTTTATTCGTTTTTGTTCGTTTAACAATCTGCTTTTGTCCTGCAGTTGTAAATCTATATTGTTTATGTAAATAATTGTCTATATGTATTATGTATACGTATTCAACATGACAGTCGAATAACACTCGGAAACTATAAAACAAAAGGAAAAACCAATCAACATGCGATTCTAATTATAACTATTAGAAACAGTACAACGTCAAACACACAATGCTCACATTTGCTAGTTGCGATCAATCAGCGGTTACATGTATCATCTCGAATCCATCATTTCGATGTTTTCGAATGTCAAGATACCAGAATACAAATTTCGATTAGTCCGGTTTTGGATGTCATACGTAAGACCGATGTAATAATTGGAATATACAACAAAAATAAAAAAATGAAGTAGATTTTAACATCCAAAATTGATCTATTCATTCTTAACTCGTTAAGAATCAAGATTTCTTTACGTGCATGTATCAACAAGATGCTCAGGCAGCTACAAAGAGAAATATTTTTCGCCAACGTTCGCCCTCATGGGGTAAACTACCCTATCGTATCCAACCCTGGCAAGAGTCGTCGGGATCGATAGAGACAGCTCTTTACCGATGTTTTACCAGCTGAAAGTAACGAGCGACCGATGGTATACTTACTCGTTATGAAGGAGTAGGCATTGATCCACTCATTCAGATATCCCACCACTAAGTGATCCTCTTTCGGAAACGCGTAGACGACGGTAGTGCAATTTCCGGATGCGCTGGCACTCGTGGATACGGCATTACCAACCCCGTTGTCGCTCGCCATTGAACTCGCCTGGATAACCGTGGGTGGTAAAGGCGGTAAGGGTAAATCTTTCGCTCCAATACTGAGCGACTTTAACATGTTCAACCGCGCGTCCACTGTGCACGCGAGAAACAAACGTAAGGGAATGGCAGTTTGCACCAATTGCATAAGAGTCCGGATAACTTGGATATTGAGACTATCATAATTTTGGTGAATCTAATTTTCGATACTAAGTACTAATATAGAAGAAACTACCGTTATTATATTTTCTCAAAGAAATTAACAAGAGACTTTTCACAACTATTCGGAACTGATTTAATTCTCTTTAAAATATGTCATTAAACACAAAAATCTAAAAGGTACGTATTTTTTATGTCGGATCAATCCCAGGTTTAAAGAAAATGAAACAACTCTTCAAAATTATATTTGATTCCTATCAACGAAACGATGAAATGCTTATATCTATAATCAATTACCAATGAAACGGTGATACAAAAAATGTTTTAGACGAAACTTTTATAATTTATTCATAATTTTTTATACATACACTTTAATTATATATTTATCAAAAATCTAAAAATTTTAAAATACTCTAATCTCCATTCACTAGAAGTTGTTTATCCAAAATCTGAGATTAGATTAATATACAATAAAAAAAATACGAATCGACGAATTCGGACAATTGTGACAGGTTCCTTGTAAGAGCATTTTCGTTCGTCTCCAATAAAAGTAAGATTCACCGAAATTATACTGACTTTAAGATCGGAATTTGAACTAAGAAAGAAAGCATTTCATTAGAATGTTGCATGAATTATACATAATAGCAATTTTACAGCGGCGATAGACGCAGGGAAATTTTTCACAAAAAGAAAAAATAGATATTTTGTATTATTAATAACATTTCAAACGCGTTTTCATATTAGGGAAATTTCAGAGCGTGTTTGGAAATTTTATATAAAGTAGAACAATATAGATTATTATAGTGCATAATACACAATTTTTCGTACTGTAATATGAAATATGTTAATTACATAATTATAATATATATAAGACAAAAAACATCAGCGATGGAATAATAATTAGTCACTGTGTTATTTACAACAGAAAGTATGATCGATATTTTCCATCAAATACAATGTTTTTTCACAGCGTTTAATGCGAGGTAGAAGCAGCGGACAGCTGTATCTATTTACGTTAAAAATACTATAAATAATATATTGAACAAACATTGCATAATATTGCGCGATTATAATCAAAATGGATCTGATGTGTATGAAAATTGATCGTTTACAGCTTCAAAGTAAAATTCAAATTTCAATTCTCTACAAATCTAATAATATCTAAATTAAACCATTTCACTGATCTATTAATTCACTAATATTATGTTATTACATGTTTGAAATAAGATTAACATATCATTAATTAAAATTTACGGAATAAATAACTTGATGCAAATGTCAATTTGCAATTTAGACTAATTATGAAGAATGTATAATAACTTTTTCGTAATAATGCTTCATTAAGTTTAGTAAATGTACGTTGTACGATCCGATATGTGTGTATCTGCATATGTGTGCATAATGCAAATATGTTTTTCTAGCAAACTTCCACAGCGTGAATGATTGATTATATCATAACACCCCTAATAGTCCCCTACCGAATGAATCATGGAAGCTGTTCGGTGCAGCTCTCATCACCCTGAATACTGTTAGTTTCTCACAAAAATTGCAATTTAAAGAACAGTATTACTCAATCATTCGTCATTCAATCATCGTTTAAATTTATAATTTCTTTCGTTCAATAATTTATAATTATTGAACAAAAATTTGAGGTATAAAACGAAGAATTTTCCATGACAAGTCGTTCCATCCTGTGTCTTTCCACGGATCGCGAAACTTAAATGGCACATTGTACTCTTGGAATGCTTCACGGTCTTCCGAATTCTGACTTTTCGCCTGAGTTATTTTTCAGGAAATAACCACATAGCATCTCCGAACATCAATGGAAATGAAAGAGCGAAATAAAATATAAAATCGAAATGAATATATATATATATATATATATACGTATAGTCCATGCTTTTTGTTATTGGATACTAACGGAATATTAAATGTATAAGAATTGTAGTCACGAAAGGATACAAAGCTTATTTCAATTCGTTGTAAGTTTTAATTTTTAATTTGTATGAAATTGTAGCGACATAAATTCTAGTACTTTATGACACAAAGTCAGAATTCGTCGAAAACACTGTGTGTACAGCTGTTAAACATTAACTGCCTATAGTAATAATATTATAAAATATATTCGAGTATTAAAAAAAAGAGATTTTTATTCCATGTACTGGAAATATGTATTTCATAATTTAATGGAATGTAAAAGACAATTTTATTATACCTATAATTTTTATTTTGCAAAATTCGAGTTCTAAAGGAAAACGTATAATTAATTATACAGGTAAGCTTACTATTGTATTTCTTCCAAGTGAGATAATCGTATCATTTTGTTCTGTTCTGTACACAGTACACATTATGATATATACTTCGTTATAGAATAACTGATCCAAGCGGACTTAAAGGTGACGAATTACGTGGACACGACGAGTCTGGTAAAGCAGTTTCGCTGACGTGATAAAACCAAGGAAAAAGTCAGCACATTGCAATGTTGAGACACAATTATCAAAGTTGTGTATTTCCAATAACCAATTATACAATATATATATATATTTTTTTAAATTGTACGTTTCTCTCAAAATTCAAATTTTAAGAAACGAAGAATATAGATTTTATAGAATTTTATTTCACATTCCATTACATAATATAATGGAGTATTTTCTCAGTGCAGTCATGTTGCTAATATATTGTATACGAAATAACTCAGAATCAGTATGTTCATTGGAAAGTTTCCGGGGGGCTCAGTAATATCTTAGCTTCGAGTTATTTACATTATAATTCAAACAATATGGTTCTAGTTCTTCCGGCCGCGTTGTTCCGCTAAGCTTACTATCTCTCCCGTGCGAGATAACGTTCGCAGTTTCTAGTTTTCTAATTAGCGACTTGGGAATGCTTACAATTAGCCGACGACGTCGCGGAAATGCCATTGCTATCCCGTCTCGCGAGTTTTCACTATTTAGGGTCTCAGATCGCATTTAGTTTTAAAATTTACATAACAAATTTGATTTAAAATCCTAGCACTTTTATGATAATTACATACGGAACGAACGATTTTACTGAAGTGTCTAATAAATTTAGGTAGATGGCCTAATTTAATTGGACCTTTAAAATAATTATATAGAAAACTCAAGCATAATGATAGTGAATAGTGAATAGTGTTATATAGTTTTGATGTCTAATAGCTTATTAAGTTTTCTACATAATTTTTTGATAGATCAAATTATTTTCAGATCTTTATTTAACTAAATTTTTAGATGATTCAAACAGTTCTTTCTGTGTATGTTTAAAGATTTCTCGCAAATAAAAATAAGAATTCGAAAAACAGAAAATTTTAAAAAGCACACACTAATTGTTGCAAGCATTGAGAATAATTTCTGATTGAAAATGAATGAACCAAAAAGTTGCTATCGTGGCAATCAGAATTCTGTTAAGATTATGTCTTAACTCGAATTATAATAGATTCAGCCAGAAAATTTTTATGTGTCTATTTTTAACCAGAGAATCCAATTAACCCAACCAAACTCTTTTTTCAAAGTATATATTGTCATAATGTAATCATCGTATTTACGTATTATCTAGAAATTCTACTTTGAAAGAGTATAAAGATTTGTTTAAAAGTTATTTTTACAAGCATGCTTTTAATGGCGTACCATATTAAAAGCGTACCTTTTAATTGCTTAATTTAATGAAATTCAAATCATATAATATTGACAGTACTTTTATTAGTGCTCTTAATATGATAAGCAAAGATAAGAAATGTAAAGATGAAACGTAATACACCGCAAATTATTTATACGACGCGTTTTTTAAATTATGCCAATTACAAGTACAGAAATAGCAATGTAATTGGATCTTCTGACTTTATCTTATCAAAAGTATTTTGCAGAAGATATGTATAATATATAGTATAGCGTAATTATTACACTGAAAATTATGTTCTCATGTCTTCAGACGAATTTACTTAGTCGACTAGATAATAGCTACGTCTGACGTGAGTCTTCAAACATACACAGAGTTATGTAATTATATTTGTGTCTCATAGTAACATGGATATATAATTTCAGTCTAAGTCGGCTAATTATTTCACTAAAGAAAATTAACTACGAAAGTACAGTATATTCATCATTATGAATATATTTAAACTAACACGGACTGTGATTTGGCTCTTTGATTCATAATTCATGCTGAATTTAATGAAACAGTTTCCCCATCATATAATTTTGAATTTTAAAAAAGTAATATCGTGACTGCTTTTACGCACTAAAACGATCTAATAAAACTGTATAATGATCGATTATAATTTCACGTAATTGATATTAAAGTAATAATTTTTCTAGAAACCGTGATGAGGAAATTAAATGAATTTCATAAAGGATGTCGACCATCAAAATAGCAACAATAAATGTAAATGAGATAAAAAATATTGTACGAATAAAGAAGAATATGGTAGCTGACTAATTTTAAATATTTCGTTGAGAATTATGAGTAATATTCGCGCGAAATCCGTGCCTTTTGCTCGAGATGGCAATCGATTGTTCATGAAAGTTTAATCGCAGTACCGCGCATTTCATATTTTATTCTTCATAAAGTATGCAATGCGCACAAAACTACATATGCACTCACAATTTGGCGTTTTTTCAGCTATTTTTAACGATTTTAACATAACGCCATATCACATTAAAAATGAAGATACCGTTTTTAATTAAATAAATATATAAATTACTTACGATTTATCATCAAAAATAATTTCCGTTGCAAACAATGTAGCAATTAAAAATTGATATTTTTGGCGGTACAGTAATATTAATCGATGTCGTAGAATGACGTTGTGATGTTAAACATAATCTGTATACATGGAAAAGTACATATTATCGGGAATTAATTTGTTTATTGTAATAGGATTGAAAATTATTGTAACAGCGTGTCTCAAATTATGAAAGTATATA